GATATTGATATTGATATTGATATTGATATTGATATTGATATTGATATTGATATTGATATTGATATTGATATTGATATTGATATAGATATTGATATAGATAACGATACCAATACCAAATCAACAAACGTCAGTTTATATGTATCAAATGAAGGTAAAAATGAAGGTAAAATTCATTGTTTTTGAAAAAAAATGCAATAAAATCGATATTAAAACAATGCTTGTTTGCATGTGATATAGATGACGCCAAATTAACAAGGGCCAGTTTAAAAGAACAACCGCAAGTTCATGAGAGTAATAAATACACTCGTCAAGAAAACGATCGTTGCAATGAATGTTTTGATTATTACCAATTTTATAAAGCTAAATTATCTAGCGAAGACAAGGATATCGACAGTCTAATAAAAGAATGCATGAATATTAAAAGTCATTTCCAATGGATCTCTTTTGAAAAATTTACTAATATTGAATATCTTTCAAAAGGCATTTATAAAGCATCAATATACTATTACAAGTGGAATCACGAAGAAAATAAATTTAAACGATTTAACAACGACAATAAACGCAAAGTTTTGTTGAAATTGCGCGATCCAAATCAAATTATGAAAGAGGTAAAAAAAAGTACAATTTTTAATGTGCAAACAAGACTTTTTTTAATATAATTAAATTATTCAACAATAGATTCGGACTGTTCTAAAGTACAGTGATGATTACTTTAGAATAAACTATTATGGAATAACTAAAAACCCATCTACAAATGAATACTCGATAGTAATGAGTTATCCAGAAGAATATAATTTCAAGTTTTACGACGACGATTATATTAATTGCGACATTCGCAAATATATTAGTTCCAACTACGAAGAATTGACTTGGAAAGAAAAATTAGAATACTTGTTGTGTATTATCTATGCTCTAAAAATAATCTACGAAAAGGAACTTGTGAATAGAGACTTTCATCCTGGAAATATATTATTACATATTGATGCTTTCACCGCAAATTTTGGCCTTACCGACCCAAAAGACATAAAAAATCAAGAAATTTACGGAATACTTCCTTATATGAGTCCAGAAATATTAAGTGGAAAGCCATACACTAAGGCTGCAGATATTTATAGTTTCGGAATGGTCATGTACGAGATTGTAACTGGTGAACGACCATTCGATAAGCGGAGTCATGATAAAAATCTCGTATGCGATATCTATAAAGGAATACGACCTACAATCCCAAAAAATATTCCCGGGTGGTGCAAATTTACTATTGAAAAATGTTGGGATCCTATTCCAGAAAACAGACCATCTATTGAGAAGCTTGAAGAAAAATTAAAAAAATCACAAAAAAGTATTCTTAAGACTACGAAAATTAAAGAGTTTCTGAAAATGAAATTACAAAAAAGCATTCCCGCGAATATAAACAAAAAACAACAAATCCACTCAAATACAATTTACACCAGTCGAATGTTTACTTCGAAATTAATATCAATTCCAACTGTTACAGGTTATGCACACTTATTTTTTTTATATTCAATCAAAATGAATTTCAGATTGAGTTTAAATATATCAAACATTTAGGTTCTACAAGTGTTAGTTTGTATATTCCAAGCGAAGGTAAACTTACACTTGATATTCTTTCTTTATCACTTTCCTTAATTCAAATATTTTTTTGGTGATAAAAAACAGATTTCGATGTTAGTATATCACACGAAATTAGTCTTAAACGTGAAGATAAGAACAATTTGTAGTCAAGGTAACTTATTATTTATTTATACTTTGCTTGTACAAGTAATTAACAAATTTCTGAAAATAATTTAACAATTGAAACCTTTATATATTCTTTATTAGAACCTTGGCATGCAAGCAAAGTAATAATATTTCTCGATACTAATGGTGTTGGTTCCACTGCTGCCAAATAAAATGCCAAATGTGTGTATAATGATAAGAGCAAGCATCATATATATATATCAATTAACTTATTTACTAATATCTTATTTTTTTCGATTGATATCAGTGCCTGTTAGCATTTAATACTCCCCGTGCAGGAAACAGCCTCATGATTAATTTTTTAATATATATTTTAGTTCATGGTGGCAATCCAAATCGAACACTTCCAATATTTTTATTTTATTATTGTTATATTTATGGAAGCAAAATAACTTTCTATCTCAGACAAGCATTATCCTATTATATCTATCTATTGACCCTTATTATTAAATCTCCATTCATAAATAATAATAATTGAGATTCAATATACATTTACGAACAAGATTAAGGAATTACGGAATTTAATGTTGCTGCAGTAATAATATCTAATGCAAGGTTAGCATCATATGTTCAGAAAATGAAATTTCCCCGGTTGTCATAACCCAAAGTAACATGCCAAAACTATATATATATCCGCCGCAAATGTATATTCTTTACCATGTGAAACTTCTGGAACAATGTACGCTACTACGCCATAAAGCTCCCGGTGTAGTTCTTGATAGATTATTAAATGTGATAATCCGAAAACGTTAAGGTTCATTCCCATAGTACTTAGGTGCGTGTGCAATTTATTACTAGAATCGAGACCATGATGAATAAAATTTAAATCATACAATATATCTAATTTCTTTTTCCATTTTATTGTTGCAAACTTTTGTTCAGGTAGCACTGTAAATCTCTTCTATTGACATAATGCGTTTCTAGCATGTATTCACCGGTAGCTTCCTTGATAATACCATAACAGTGCAAGATTTGACGAGAACGACATTTGTAATTCGTTTTGAGCTAAATTTATCGAATTACTGTGTAATTTATCAGAGATAAGCACCCAATTTATAAGGAGCGTGACAAATATCAGCTAATATCCTTGAGGGATGACAAATCTTAGGTACATGTATATGATATCCCGTGATTTATATATCATATATTAGCTGATATCTAATGCACTTTACTTTTTTATTACCTCATGCATTAAATTGTTTAAGGATCTCTGATTCAGGCGCTTTAGCGCTATGTTTGTTGGTCCAGCTCGTAACCATTGTATTTTTTTTCAGCCCAACTCCATCATGGTCCTCTTTCCATAGCGCTAAATAATGTTCCAAATCTACCTTTGCCGATTTGCTTGATATCCGAAAAATAATCATATGGTATGAATTCAAAATAATCACGATTATTTGAAGACATTAGTTGTGTTTCTCGTGTAAATTTATCATATTTTCATTCCACTTGTCCATCTATCAAATTTTCGTTTAAAATTTTAGTGTTGACATTCGTTGCAGCAGTCAATTTTCGACATTCCTATACAACGTTTGCAGAATTCTAATTCTGCGTTCATTTTTCTAGATTCTTGCCCGTTTCGTTCTATCGTAGACAGCAACAGCATAGCATAAAAAGTTATTACGAAAAATATTTTCAAAATTAAAGCTAGCTTGTCATAACTTTGATATTATTATCATGTCATCGTAATTGTTTTATTTACTGTATATTGTTCAAGTAATAAACTCACGAATTTCGTATTACCTTTGGGCGTATGACAGCTTAAAGCCATATTCATATAAATATGTTATTATACGGCTTCAATAGACAGATACGGCTTAGTGTATAATGACACTGGCTAACTCTCATGCAACTGCAACGTTCTAATTCGGGTCAAGGCTTTCAAGAACTCTTTTATTAATAGAATACAGTCAAGTCCTTTACAACGGAATATTATCGAAGTTATATTGATGAACCAATGCTAATATACCGGATTTATTAATAAAAGCACTACATTGTGGCCAAAAAGCTCTAAGCGAATGCGGCTTTTGTAAAGGACTTTGACTGTACACATTCACGCATATTATCAAAAAACAATGATTTCAATACAATTTATTCTAAGTATTGGATGACTGTGAATCGTACTTGATTGAACCATCACATGCAACTAATTGATGATTAAATCTTAGGTGGTCCGTCTGTTTGAGCCGTCAAATTTCAATTTTCATGAACCGATTTGAATTCTTTAATGTAATTTATACTTTCAATAATTTATAGACGGACATAACAGAGCATTAATTAATCTCTGTAATATACATTCCAAAAACAAGTTGCAAACGATAATGATCCGACCACTTGTTATACATGATTTTATCGGGAAATTTCATACGCTAACAAAGTGAGTAAACAAAAACAATGTGCACTTATAACTAGCTCCAACGTGTTCTTACAAGGTACGAACTTATTGTATTGTGTTTCATCTTCTTCATGATGTCAGCTCTTGGCAAATACATGTATATGTTGCATCAATGAATTTTCTCCGATCAATGGATGGCTGTGGTTTCCAATGGAGAAAATTGTTTTTAACATAATAAACGTATAAATCCAACTGGTCCAGCTGAAATTGGAGCAATTTATTAAATTGACTGGTTAAACCACAGCGTACGCTAAACACGGCGCCATATAATGATAGTTACATCAATCTTCCACGACTCGATTCATATTTTTTAATAAACAAGCTACGTCCTTATAAAATGACTTGACATTAATTTCAACAGCAGCCTCGTTCTTTAACCATTTATAATGCCTTCTCTTCGATTCCTACATTAGGAAAAAACGACCGAAAATTTAAACACTATAATGATTTGTAGCCGAAGAAATGTTTGAATCCCATTAACGAGGGAGAATCACGTTGGTATGTTTTTGAATTTTATTTAGTATCTTTAAATTTCTAAGAATATATAAAATAGACATTTAAAAAATCTCTTGAAGGTTAAATGAAAACAAGGGACTAATTTTACAATGACAATCTAACAATTGCACATAATAAGACGCCTTTATTAAGATTTTTAGCCTCATATGGAAAGTTGCCAGCCTGAATAAACGAAACAAGCGCCAACCAATTTCTATTAACATGTATTATTTAGCCGCAAACATGGTAACATAACACAAAGTTATTTATGTATAGAATTTTTTGGATCGAACGTCTGTATACCTATAATTTTTTATTCTTCACGCCGCCGCTTTCACGTTCCACATTCGCTTGCTATTTCTGCTAGCACAACTGTTCCTTCTCCGAAGTCAGAAAAAAGGGCTGGTTCTTCATTTCTTGCTTGATTTTTCCCTTTTCTTTATTATACATTTTTGAATTTTTAGGTTGACGATATAAACACGCTTAAATTATTTTTCAATTTAACTCCTCGTAAAAATAAAAACATGCGGAATCTCTTCTGACACGCGAATATAACCGATTACAATTATTGACCAATCAAAATTTATTCTCATATTTTTATTAGAAATAAAGATAGCCAAAAATTTAGCTTCCTCGCCAACTTTTCTCGCATTTTTAACTACGCTTATAGCAGCGCCGACTACTTTGTCTCAAGATCGTTGACATTCAACATCCCGACAATTCATGAACGAAATCCCGAACGAATGACATCCGAATGCACGATATCGTGATTTTGGCATTCCATGTATTTAGAATAACTTTCGGGATTTCATTTGTCGGGCTTATGGATTGTCGGAATTGGATGTCGTAACAGATCCCTCGAGAAATTTAATGCGTGTTGCACGTTCTAAATTTTCGGAAGCATTGAATAATAACCTCGCCATTGCCAGTTCTGTTAACACCGCATGTCTCATTGTCAGCCCATGTTCTGCAACCGGTTAATGGAGTATCCACCTTAACGTTTATATACTGTATAAAACTTTTTATGGGTCGGTGCAAAAAGATTTGTATCTCAGATTAATATTAATAGATTATTTTTTCAAAATAAAATTTTAATTCTGTCTTATTTAATTAAGTTATTAGATATTAGGATTTA